ACAAAGGCTTGCACTGTTTCACCTCTTTCAGAAAATTTATCACTTGAAAAAAAATTTTTTTGAGGTGCCCATCATTCTGTGTATGGTGCTATAAAGTTTAAGGGACTAATAAAGTATTTATTTATACTGTCTTTCCATTAAAAAAAAGTTTGTGCTAAAAAATATTCAAATGAGTTGGCTGTGGAATACAGCCAATACATCTCCTAACAGCGCTGCAAACTAGGAATTGCATTTTAATTTTTGTTGTGTTGTTTTCTGGGTATAATCTGTCAAAAAACATGGGGCCTCCCCGGTGGCCCAGCGGTTGAGCGCGCTGGGTTGCAAAGCTGCCCGCAGTCTCTGCAGCGCTGGTTCAATCCCCGGCAGCTCCCCGGCCACTGGAGGAGGGTCCCACATGGCACGCAGACCTCTCCTGCCACCTGCTGCTCCCCTCAGCAGTGTACTTGGTTCCTTCTGCCTGCTCTGCTCCCCGCTCTGGCTCTGGTGAATTCTCTCACCCTCCTGTGCTTCTGACTGTACACAGTGCTTGTGTGAATAAATAAATAAATCTTTAAAAAAAAAACAAAACAGCAGGAAGAACACTTTTCCAGTGGATTCTGGTCTTTTGTCTTTTACTGTTAAATCATAAATACCAAAAGGGGATTGTGTTTGACAGCATATAATAGACACCTGCCTTCAGTGCTTTATTGAAGACAGCCCATTTTTCCTAACAACCCAGAACTGGCACCGGATGGTTCCAGGCCGCTCTATTTTCCCTCTCTGATGTCCTCATCATACGGTCATTGTCTTCATGTTCATTGCCTCATGGTTACAAGATGGCTGCTGTTAGACTCACATCATAATTCTAGGCAGAAAGAAGGAGGGGAGGGTGGTGCCTCTTAAGTCAGAGTTTTAGACCAGCCAAAGAGGAAGGGAAGGGCCTATATTAGTGAAGGGAAGTGTCCCCTGGAATTCCCAGCAGACTTTGGCCTGCTGCTTCTTTTTTTTTTTTTTTTTTAAACATTGAGGGTTTTTTTTTTTTTAAATATTTATTTATACATACAAGAACTGGGGCACAGGCTAGAGGTGGGGGTGAATGGGTGAGAGGATTCCCCAGAGACAGAGTGGGGACCAGAACAGGCAGACTGACTGAAATACACTGCTGAGGGGAGCGGCGGGTGAGACAGGGGAGGTCTGCTGTGCCATGTGGGTAGCTCCCAGGCCAGGGATCGAAATTGCACTGCAGAGACTGCGGATAGCTTCACAGTACTTGCTTAACCACTTGTGCTACCAGGGAGGCCCTGCTTGCTTCTTATTGTCCCATGCTACCTATGCCTGCAAGGGAGTCATCCTCTCCCAAAATTAGGATTCTTTTAGTAAGAGAGAAGGTGAGAATGGATATTGGCCAGTCAACAAGTAAACTGCCATGAGAAACCTAAAATAATGTCAAGTGTTGTGATATTCTGTAAATTGAACAAGACACATTATACATGTTATAAAGTGTTCCTCATTGCAGATCTTCTAGATAAGTTTTAATTCTTTTGACCAATTTCTTGATAGGTCTGATTAGCTTGTAGGGTAGCTGACAAACTCCTAGGAATTGGAGAGAAATCAACCCTGTTTTATCTCTTGCTTTTTGCTTCAGTTTGCATTTTGGTATTTTCTTCAGTCTGTGGCTTTCTTTAAAGCCATTATTTTCAATTCTCTTGTCTATATTTTTAGGAGTAGATAATACATGTCAATTCATAAGGGCTCTATACAGTGGGCTGGATGCTTATACCAAATACACATTTCTTTCTCTTGGTTCTGGAAGTTGGAAAGTCCAGGATCAACTTGCTACCAGATTCCATGTCTGGTGAGCACTCCAGACTATTCTCACTGTGTCCTCAAATGGTGGAGGGGGTGAGGGAGTGTTTCTGGGGTCTCTTTTATAAGGACACTAATCCCATTCACGAGTGCTTTGCCCTCATGACCTCAGCACCTCCCAAGGGTCTACCTCCATGACCTTTACCTTGGGTATTAAGTCTGAACATAAGACTTTTGGAGGGGTACAGACATTCAGTTTATAGCTCATACAATGTGGAAATCTACTTACTTCTCCAGGACCCTAAGTGGTGATGCTGCGCTTGAGTGGACCCCACCTGTCCCACATTTCCTTAGGACATGGCAAGTCCACTGTGAGTGAGGGAGTCAGCATCAACCCGTATTCTATAGTCTAGTCATGTTTAATTTATCTCTTAGTTTTGCTATAAAAAATCAAAATATGAGAAGTTCTTGCATATGAGAAGTATGAGACGTTCTCAAAATATGAGAAGTTCTCCTGCCTGCCTCCTCATGTTCTCATCATTGGGTCATTTGGGACAGCTGCTTGATGCTCATCCCACACTTCGGAGATCACTGGTTTTTTAGAGAACAGGAAAATTATTTGGCAGTGCTGATGGCTAACTGAATAAAGTACTATTTAAAAAATGTAGGAGTAGGAGAAGGGACTGATTCTTTGTAAAGTCTGTAAAAAGTTCGGTTGGTTGGTGCTTTGAACAAACAATGAAATGTGTAATTCTTGCCAGGTGCTGTACTGTGCATGGGGGAGAAAGAATGATAATTCACTTATTCCCTGACCCTGGGGAGCTCCCAGCTTAATGAGGAAGACTGAAATGCAAATGAGGAACTGCAAAATGGTATATGGGGAGAGGTAGTATAAAGTGTGCAGAGGCCTCACCTTCTGCATGTCTTTGTCACTTTCTTAATTGGATCTTCTCTGACCACTGCTTTTAATTGCAACTCCTCCTGATGCAGCCCTCTCACCTGCTTCCCCCCCATTCTCCTTATCCTACTCTATCTTTCCCCCCTAACACTTATCATCTTACAATATTCTATACAATTTGCTTATTTGTTATATTTATTTTCACTGTCTATCTTCCAACCCCTCCTCGTTGTCACCCCCATCCCCCCGGGAGGTTGACTTCTCAAGGACAGGAGCATTAGAATACTGGTCTGTTTTCTCACTAAACAGCCCTAACTCCAGGGATAAATTATTGAAAGGATAAATGAAGGAGGCAATAATTAATATATGTATGATTATTAAAGGTTGTAGATAACATTGGGGAATGATCAGGGAGGACAGAATAAAGACGGTGATGTTTGAACTGAGTGCGCTGAAATTTTAACGGCATAGGCATGTCATACCTATTAAATGCTAGCAAGATCGTTTGTGAAGGTGACTTCAACAACCATCCAATCAAATGACCTCACAGAAGACTATTTCTCTTGCTATTTTGTTTGTTCATTTAAACAAGTCTTCAATAAGCTACATGCATCCATTTAAATACCGACTTCATAGAGAGGATAGGATTAGTGACATCTAGGTAATTAATTTTACTTACTCCTCTTTGTGATGTTTTGACTTGGAGTTTGGTACAACATGCATAATTTATGTGTCATAGATCTAAAATAATTTTAAGTTTCTAGCTGCAAGCAATTATATTTTAAATAATAATGAATTTTAAAAACCAGCAAATTGATCATTACATAATCATATTTCAGGTGCCAAAGAGTCAGATTAAGCTAGTTAAAATTTTTCCTGGAACGTGCATCAGGTATTTTGGGAAATAGCATTAATTATGTCAGACTCATCCAGGACAATGTTTCAACGAATTAATACTCTACTACTCAAAAAAACCCAAATTATCTGATATATTTTATTTTTTTATTTTTATTTATTTATACAAGCCCTGGGTACAGTCAGAAGTATGGGAAGGTGAGAGAATTCACCAGAGCCAGAGCCGGGAACAGAACAGGCAGACTGACTGAAATACACTGTTGAGGGGAGCAGTGGGCGTGGTAGGAAAGGTCTGCCGCGACATGTGGGCCCCTCGCTGGCAGCCGGGGATTGAACCAGCGCTGCAGAGGCTGTGGGCAGCTTCATAGCCCAGCGCTCAACCGCTGTGCAACTAGGGGAGGCCTTGTCTGATATATTTTAAAGTCCTGGGCATAAACCTGGGCTACCAAAAAAAATGATTCTTACATGGTCACTTAGCTTCATGGTAATTTCAACCCTGCCTACCCTGGCTCCAACCCCGACCAGATATTATGTACACGTTACTGATGTCTGGGTGAAATAGGGTGAAGTGTTTATGCAATTTTCTCACGACTTCCCCAAAAGAGAACATGCACCCCACCCCCAAGCACATACCCCTTTGTTGGTAAATTCAGCAACTGTTCCTCAAGAGCAATTGACATCAGAAAATTAAAAAAATTATATCATGTGCTAGAATTTGCCCTTTGTTTACTTAAACATTATTCAGCTTAACTGTGTAAAACACACTGCCGGGGCCCTTTAAAATTTTTTTTGTTAGATTTTTAATTCAACTCTAAAGACAATTCAAGTGAGAAACCAGTGCATTGATTTTGTTCTTTGAGTCATTGCACTGTAATTAACTGAGTTGTGTTTTAAATGCCGCACAAGAACATCTTTCTTGTCTGTTTATGTCAGAAAAAAATGGCTAATGAGCACTTATCAAAAAGATGAACATTTTTTCATTAGATTAAGTAAAATCAAAACAGATTTATAATGTACTATTATGTTTCAGCTTGGAATAAATTGAGTAAAATAGCTAATATCTTCACAGCTTCCTGAGAATTTCTCTGCATGGCAGGATTCTCCTCCCCCACACACTTAGCTTCAGCAAAGTGCCCATTTGTGGCGACTTCCTTTGTGGAGTCGTGGCACATTTCCAAAGGATTTGGAATGCCCTTAATATTATTTGTAAAATCTGAATATCTATGAAGCAGGTGTCAGAATTGACTTCCTTTGAATTATGCCAGTGGGCTTTGCCACTTAATAATACGGTTCTTTAAAATTGGTTTTGAAAATGTCTTTTCTCCACTTTCTCTCAGTGGTCAGTCCGAATACTCTGGTATTCAGTGTTGACCAGAACACTTTTGTTTGTGTTCAAGTGGATGAATATTAGCCTGTGTGTTATCAAAAGGTACAGATGATGAAAGTTGATTCTGTAGGAAAATTTAATAGAAAAATGTACAAGTTTAAGAGTCCTCCCCTTTTAAATGTCACTTAGATGGCAGGTTATTTTCAGATCATCCAAGATTGCGAGTCATTTCTCCATTTTCGATGTAAAAGTTCAAGTCCATCTTTATCCATGTTTACTTGAGGTTTTACAAATATGTGCATATCTACAAAACGACCAAAAAATAAGGTCTTCTTTGGAAAAAGATGAATCATGACTTCCTCAGGTCTTTTTAGTTTGCGTTAGGGCAAACTGGATCCAGCGTCAGGCAGTTGCATGGGAGATAAATTCCCTGTATTAAAAAAAAAGGGGGGTGGGTAAGGAGAGCACAATGTACTGTGGTGGAGGACTTTGGTGGTCGGAAAACTACCACACCTGAGGGGAGAAATCCTATATTGTGGAAACAGAAATTAACAAGGATGTTTAAAAAATAATTAAATTTTAAAATAAAATAAAAATAAGCTACTCTGGAGAGTAGAGACTTAGTGTGTAATCACATAACTTCTGTCACATAGCATACACTTTTTGGAAAAACTCGATGAATTTCTGAAAATTAATACACCCATGTACATACCATCCAGACCAATCTGTAGAACATTTCTTATAATATTTTTCTGCCTCTTCCAAGTCATTATTCCCCATACCAAAATAATCAACATTCTGAATTCTATCATAATTACTTATAAATGATACTTTTTTGTGTTTGGCTTCTGGCCTTCAAAATTATGTCTGTGAGCATCATTTATATGCTCATGTATAGCAGAAAGCCATTATTTTTCATTGTCATATAGTGTTCTATTATATGAATATACTGCTATTTACTTATTCATTAAACTATTGATGAATATTTGTGTCATTTCCAATTTGGGTTGTTAGCAGTTTGAACAGTGCTGCTGGGGATCTTCCTGTATGTGTGTTTTGGTGACATATGTGTGTATTTCTGTTGGCTACATACCAAAGAGTGGAATTGCTGGCTCAAAGGATATATATACATTTGTACAATTTTAGTACATACCATGAAATAAATTACTAAATTATACCAACTTATACTCCCACCAGCAGAGTATGAAAGTTCTAGTTATTTCACATCCTCATCAACAATAAGGTTTTAGCTTTTGAGGGGAGTTTAAAAGTTAAATTATTGTGATTTTTATTTGCATTTCCTTGGTGGTTAATGATGTTTAGCAACTTTCATTATGCTTATTGATCCTTTGGACATCCTTCTAATTATATTCCTAATCAAGTCTTTTGACTATATTTTATAATTGGGTTGTCTTTTTTTTTCTCATTGATTTGTAGGATTTCTCTATGTATTTTAGATAGGAATTCTTTGTTGGTTATATGTAGTATATACCTTTCTGGTATCTTTTGATAGCTAAGTTCTTAACCTTCTTTTTAAAAGATTTATTTTATTTATTTATGCATACAAGAGCTGGGGTACAGGCCACAGGTGCGGCGGGTGAGAAGACTCACCAGAGACAGAGTGGGAAACACAACAGATGGATTGACTGAAATACACTTCTAAGGAGAGCAACAGGAGAGACAGTAGAGGTCTGCTGTGTCATGTGCGTTAGCTCCCTGACAGGGTTGGAACTCGTGCTGCAGTGACTGCTGATAGCTTCGTAGTGCTAGACTTAACCGCTTGTATCAACAAGGAGGCCCTAAGTTCTAACCTTTTAAATAATATAAATTTATTTATATTTTCTTTTATAGTAAGTAATTTTTGTGTCCTGTGTTAAGAGATTGTTTTACTTACTTGAACATTAAGAATATAGCTGGTGTTACTTTCTAGAAACTTTACTGTATTTCATTTCACATTTAGGTCTATAATTATTATGAATTTGATTTGTGTGCACTTTGAAGTGGGATAAGTTTCGTGAAAATATTAATTATTAAAAATATCACCCTTTCCTTCACTGAATTCCAGTGGCAGCTTTTTCATAAGTTAGGTGGTCTTATTTGAGTGATGTTTCTTAGACCCTCTTTTCTATATTCTATTCTATATGTCTATCTTGTGCTAGTATGCTATTTAAATTAACCTACACTTTAAAATAAATCTTGATCTTTGCTAACACAGTTACTAAACTTTATCCTTTTTCATGTTTGTTTTGTCTATTTTAAGTCTCTTGCATCTCCACGTAAAATTGTTATCCTTTTATTAGCTTTTACGAAAAGCCAGCTGGGTTATTGATTAGGACTACATTGAACTTACAGATCAATTGAGGAGAGTCCTCCAATACTTAGTCTTTCAATCCATTGGCATGATATGTTATCCATTTATGGCATCCTTAATTTTTTTTGTAGTTTTCAAAATGTCTTACATATTTTTTGTTAACTTTGTTCCTAGGTATCCAGTATTTTTTGTTACATATGCTTGGATAGTTATATTAATGTAAATGGTATTGTTTTAAATTTTCATTTCCCAATTTTTAGTGCTAGTGTATACAAATACTATTGAATTTTAAGTGTGACGTCTATAGCCAGTGAATTTACTAAATTCACATTTAAAATTTTAATAGTTGTGATTGTTTGGATATTTTATGTATACATTCATATCATCTGATTTTATACCCAATTTCAAAGGAAAAACTATTTTGACTGTAGATAGAAAAAAGATTTTTTTATTAGTTAAGGCAAGGCAGTTCTTTCCATTTCTAGTTTAAGATTTTGCAGTATGGTGAATGAGCATTGATTTTTACCAAGTGATTTTTTTTGCATCAATTTAGTGACTATATAGCTATATAGCTATATAGCTATATACTCTCTGATTAGTCTATTGTTTAACCTATCTGTTGAATTCATAATATGATTGTATTTTATACATTCCAGTGCTTTGATAAATTTAGTGACTATATAGGGGTTAATAAATGGGGTACATTATATTGATTGATTTTCAAATATTAATAGCCTTTGTCATTGTTATAAATTCCCTTGTTTGAGATCTATTCTTTTCATATATCATAAGATTTGACCTGCTAGTATTTTTATTTGACTTTACATCTATGTTCATGATAGAATTATACCTTTCCTGTCATAATAATTTTTCTTTATTGCTCAGTTTTGGTATACAGGTTGTATGGTCCTCAAATAATGAGTTCAGAAGTGATTTCATTTTATCCATTCCTTGGAATAATTTGTATAGATTGTTGTTAGTTTTTCTTGAAATGTTTGAAAAACTTATTGAGGAAATCATTTTGGCCAAAGTTTTTTTTGGTAGATAAGCTTGTAATTATAAATTCATATTTTTTAATGAACATAGGACTATTTAGATTTTTTATTTCTCATGTCAGTTTTGTTAAGTTAGTATTTTTAAAAATTTCAACAAAGCATATTTAAATTTTATATTTAAACTATAAATTCATCTAAATTTTAAAATTTCTTGATCTAAAGTTATTTTTAATATCTTTAATGTCTAAGATCTGTAGTGATCACCTCTGTTTATATTGATACTTTGTACTCTCTCTTTCCTTTTTCTGTTCTTACTGGAATTTAATCTATTTTACTTTTTTCCCTGAGAAACAACTTACATCTTTATTGTATCATTCCGTTACAGGGATTAACAAAATATGGCTCATGGATCAAATCTAGCCTAGCATTTGTTTTTGTGAATATAGTTTTATTGGAAGATAACCATATCCATTTCTTTGTGTCTGTGCCTGCTTTAGCAGAGTTGAATAGTTGTTATGTATCTCATGACCCACAAAGTTTAAAAATATTTACCATTTGCCTTTTTTACAGAAAAAAAATTGTTGAAATGTGTTCTATTACATATTTTAATCCTATTTCATTGATTTTTGTCCTTATTTTGATTACTGGCCTCCTACCTTTTTTTGGTTTAACTGCTGTTCTTTTTAAAGCTTCTTGAGATGGATTCTTAATTCATTGATTTCCATCCTTAGACTTTCATTTAATTATTATGTTTTCTGTAAGTACAAATTAGTTGCAATCTCTTCTGCCTTTGTTGTGGGATATTTAAATTCTCTCAATGTTGTAAAATTTACAAGATGTTATTAATATCATTGTGTAAAGCCATCAATATTAATTTAAATTTACTCACTTATTTCCTCTTTCCATTTTTTTCTTCATTATTATGCTTTAATTGAAGATTATTTTAACCTGCCTGGAGAGTGCCCTTCAGCATTTCCCTTAGTGTAGGTCTAATTGGGATGGATCACTTTTGTGAAAATGACTGGTTATTTTGTTTTCAATTTTGGAAGATAGTTTTCTATGGATGTAGAATTATAGTTCTGAAATATTTTACTTTAAGAATTTTAAAGGAGTCATTCTTTTGCCTTCTAAATACATTTTTTCCATTGAATAAGTCAGCTTTTGCTGTTGCTGGAAAGGTAAAATTTCTTTTCTTTGCTTCAGTGAAGATTTTCTTTGGTTTTTAGTTATGTTTCATGTTCTAAAATTTATCCAACTTGTGTTCATAATTATTCTTGAAAATGTGGCTTCATGTTCCCTCTCTCCTGTCTATCTAGAATTTTAATTGCAACAATTATGTTACTTTCCAAAAAAGTGGTGTCCTATCTGTTGTTTATGTTTGCTTTGCATTTTAAATCTTTTTTAAATTAATATTTGCCTTTTAAATCTTTTTATCAGTTTGTGCTTCAATCTAAATATTTAGGCGGACCTATCTTCTAGCTATTTAATATACTCTCTGATTAGTCTATTGTTTAACCCATCTGTTGAATTCATAATATGATTGTATTTTATACATTCCAGTGCTTTGATAAAATCATCAAATTTCTAATTAGTTTTTAACTTTATTAATTAATAAATTAATATGGTAATACGGTAACTTTTTTTAATTTCAAATTTACAAAAAACTGTAGGACTAGTAGAAAGTATTATTGTATTTCTTCCTTCTAGATTCACTAAAGTTTTAGTATTTTTCCTTAGTTACTTTATTCTTCCTTCTATGTACATGTATTACCCTCCCCTCTGTTTTTCTTTCCAAATAATTTGATCAGATGTTGCAGATGTCATGCGTCTGTATACCTAAATTATTTTAAAAATATGAATTTCTCTTACATGACGACACTACAGCTACCAAAATTAAGAAGTTGAATATTGATTCATTACTGTTATGTGCTCTGTAAACATAATTCAAATTGGATCAACTATTCTAATAATGTCCCCTATAGATACATCTTTTTTCCAGTCTAATATGTAATCTGGGATCATGCATTGCATTTAGTTGTCATAGTTGTTTAGTATCCTTTAATGGCAACAATTCTTCTACCTTGCTTGCTTTTGTGATATTGATGTTTTTGAAGAGTACAGAACAATTACTTTGTAATGTTCCTCAATTTTGATTCCTCTTGTCGCGATTAGATTCAGACAATCCATTGTGGACAAAACTAACACAAGAGTAAAATTATCCTTCTCAGACTATTCTATCAGGAGGCATGTTATGTTTGCTTGATCCATTATTGGTGATATTATATCTTACCAATATGATCCATCACATAGTTATTACTATTACTAATATTTAGTGAACAAATAATAAGTAGGGAATACTTTGGGACAATGCAAATATTCTGTTCCTCACCAAACTTGTACCAAGCCCAGTATATTTTGACATCCACAGATGATTCTTCATTGAATCAATTAATACTATGATATTTGAAAAAAAGATGATTTTCTAAATACATTATCCTTTCTGTGTTCATTACTTGGCATGACATAAAAAATATCTTTTTCTTTATCCCTTTTTATTAATTTAGTGGCTTTATTAATTCTCATTTAAGCCACTGATCTCATTTTTTAAGTTGGTGCTCTTTATTCTTCATTTGCCTTTGGGAACCCATCCAGGCAGGCTCCTATTAACTTTTGACATCCCCATCATGTTGTGAACATTACTTTCTGGTACATTGAGATGTTCTTTTACTTTATCTGCTCCCATTCAATCATTCTATTCAATCATTTATTTAAGGTGCTCTTCTTTGTTTTATGGAGAATGGTATTTAGAAATGAAGATATGCACACTAAGTATGCTCTTTTTGCTATTGGAGTACCTTTGTATCTAGGCTCAGCAGCGCTCAAAAATCCATATCTCTATTTCATATTCATACTCCCAATCTCATGTAATACTGGAAGGTTCATTTTAGTCTATTTCCTTTCTTATTTGTGTTTTCTCCAAGTGAGAAGCGTGGTTCACATGCTCCTCAGTTATTTACTCATGTGCCCAGGCTTAGATTCATAGAGAGCAGCTTCAGAATCACTAACCCTCCCACTGTTAAAAAGCAGACCCAATGATCAGTGTTCAGTATTCGTTAAAACATTTTTGACCTTAGACTGAGGGTATGTAGTCAAAACTCTGTATTTAAAAGTAGTTATTTTTCCCTTCCATGTGATTATGTTATTCATTCAAAATATAGTTAAGCTCATTGTTTCTCTTTATATTTCATTTCTTTCCCATTCATCTTTGTTAATTTAATTTCATCATCATCATATCATTATGTATGAGGTTATAAAGCAATAAGATGCTTTACGGCACTCAAAATTATACAAAAAGCTATATTCAAAAGCATGTTGCTTCTCCCCACTCCATCTGCCTTGTTCATGCACCCTGATTGGTTTCTGGTTCAACTTTTCTGAATTTCTGTTTGTGAATATAAATAAATACATGTGAACTATTTTATTTTCTTTCTTACACAGAAGTGGCTTGCTAAGTGTCCTTTTGTACTTTACTTTTTAAATTACTAGCAAATATATACTGGAAATCACTCCATATCACAACCTCCTTTAGTTTTTATTTATAGCTGTATAATATACCCTTGTGTGACTGTATCATAGTTTAGTTAACTAATCTTTTATGCATGTTTCTTGCCCAATACTTTTCAGTTATTAATAGTGATGTATCTTGTTCACATGTATTTTTGTATTTGTGCAAGTGTTGCTTCAAAGCAGATTCTTAAATTTGAGTCAAAGATAAACTCACATGTGGTTTTGTTAGATGTTGTCAAATTCTCTTCCTATAAAGGTGGGGACATTCCCACCAGCAGTGTATGAGAGTGTCTCTTTCCTATGGTCCTGTCAAAAGAATGTGCTGTCAAGCTGTGAATTTTTACCAAATCTAATAATTTAGAAAGGGTATCTGAGCATAATTATAATTTGCAATTCTCTTGTTATGGCTGCACTTAGTCCTCCTTTCAAATTCTTTTTTTTTTTTTTAATTTATTTATACAAGCACTGGGTACAGTTAGAAGCACGGGAGGGTGAGAGAATTCAACAGAGCCAGAGGGGAGAGTAGAGCAGGCAGAAAGACCTAAGTACACTGCTGAGGGGAGCAGCGGGCGGCAGGAGAGGTCTGCGCGCCATGCGGGACCCTCCTCCAGTGGCCGGGGAGCAGTCGGGGATCGAACCGGTGCTGCAGAGGCTGCGGGCAGCCTTTCAACCCAGCGCTCAACCGCTGCGCCACCAGGGAGGCCCTCCTTTCAAATTCTTAAAGGTCGTGTAAAAATATTTATTGTGAGTGGTCTGTGACTTTCAGTTATTTTTAATTGGGTTTTTGATCTTTCCCCTTCAACTTTAGAGTTCTTGATGTATTGGGAATGCATCTGAGCCTCTTATCTGTGATGACTGTTACTTGTAGTGATGTGAAAATCTTTGTGTGTCTGTGGAACTATCTTTATTGTTTTACCTTAAATCCTGTTGGGTTTTGGTTATTTGTTCATCTTCCCTGATAGTTTTCATGGAATGCTAGACTGAGTATAAAAAGCTGTAGAGCCTCTGAATGGTGTTTTCCTCTGGAGATGACTTCATTTTCTGCGGCTGACAGGTGAAGTATGGGTACAAAACCTTTACCAAGGCTGGTCAGCTACAAGTTCTGCCCACACTCGAAGGGGATAGCCCTTCTCCAGTCCAAACTGAAGGTCTGGGGTTTTTGCCCTCCTGCGTCGCTGCCCTAAAAGCTATTTTTTGCATCTTCAGCACCACGAAACTCATATTTCTCTCCTAAGATTTCTAGCCTTGTAGCGGTTCCTTTCTGCTGGTTTCTCTCTTACAAGAAGAGCACATTTAACTTCAGAATCAGCAAACACCTCGAGGGGGATTTGCACTGTGAGTTCCCCTCTCTGTAGGTCTCTCTTCTCCAGGATCTCTGTCTTTCAATTTAGGTCCATATTTCCAGCACAGCAAGACCACTGCCAGCCCTAGATTGCTGCCATCCCTTCAGCCTTTATTCCCTGCATGATTAGTTGGCAAATACCCTGAGGAGAACCAGCAGTGGCAAATGCAAGGCTCACTTCAGTGTGTTACCCTGTCCCCAGGGTTGCAGAGTGTTAAGTCCGGCTGCCTTGATTATTTCCTCAGACCTTCAAACAGTTCTTTTACATTTTGTCTGACTTTCATAGTTGTTCTCAAACAGAGGACTTCTTCCCAACTAGTTATTCCATCATAGCAAGTAGCAGCAGTCATCTTTCCACTTAGCACATTTCATTAAATTTGTATGGAAATGAGAGAACACAGTCACATTGACAAAGCATTTTAAAATTGACAGGGAAATTGGCCCTGCTCATCCACTGCGGGGGAGGGTATGAATTGGTGCTACCTCTCTGGAGGGCATACATTTGTATCAAAATCCTTAACAAAATCCTTAACATTCATTTGCCCTTTGACCCCACAATTCTGCTCCTAGGTATTTATCCTAAGAAAATAATCAAGGATGATTGTGAAGATTCATTTACAGAGATTCTAATCCCAGTCAACAAAATTGGAATCAAAATCCTCAATATGCAACAATAGAGGATTTGGGAAATTGTGATGCTTCAGTACAATGCAATATAATGAAATTCAACATCACAAATGATGTAGAAGGGTGTCTAAACATCATAATGATCTGTTGTTAAGCATGTTCAGTAGGGTCCGGTTTAAGGATGTATATACAGATTAATAAATACGTATAAATAAACATAAGACTGGATGAATGTACATAGGTGGTCTTGGTGGGTTTTTAGTTTTCCCCTTTCATTTATGCGTGTTAAAAAATTTACGTTTGCCCTAAGAGAAAATTAGTACATGTTTAAAAATAAACTTATTGTCGATAAGTCCAGCTGGGAATATTTTCTGGCAAACGTACTTTACACTGCACAGATGAGTTCTATCTATATTCATGGCCTCAGTAGCTTTATAGTTTCGTCAGACACAGTACCCACCTTGAAGATGCTCGTGAAACAGAAGACATCCATGCAAATATACTTTAAATTCCCACTAGTCAAATGGAAACAAAGGCTTCATTTGATTCTGTCAGTGCATGCCAAAGCTGTGTTAATTAGGAATTCTTGAACAAGTAAATAGGTTCGTAGCAGGGACCTGGATTATAAAGGAAGGTTTCTTGCCTAGAAAAAAAAATGTGATTTCCTTTGAAAACCAATGGTCAACATTTAATGTAATTGCTATGTCAAGCTAAAATAAAAATATCTGAGGACCTCTTATCTTTGTTTTTTTTTTTCCTTTTTGTGTTTTTCTTAAAGGACCCTTCCAGGGTAGCCATCACCAACTATGACCTCTCGGGTCTCGAAGCTGCGTCGTTGGAATGTCCGTTCCTTGGCGACATCCTCAGAGAATCAAAGAGTCGAGGACCGTCGCCACCGTGAGGCCTATGGGTACTTCTTGCCCATCCAGACGAGGTGGCAGGATAATGACCAATATGGCCACGTGAACAATGTCGTGTACTACAGCTACTTCGACACTATTACCAACCATTACCTTATCAGGTAGGTTTCTATGGGTTCCTGCAGCCTCACATCCTCACATCAACCCTCTGACCTACCCTTAGTTGACAATTCACAAAGGGCATGCTGGGAAGAGATAATTGCTATTTTTATCTGCTTTGCTTCTATTTTGTTGCAACAACTGAAAGTCAGATGGTTCCAGAGAACAGGAAGACTGAGCTGTGAATGTGGCAGGTGTCAGCCTGCTACTCCTGCAGTCTCAGGTGTTCTTGTGTCTTGACCCTTTGCAATAAATTGCCAGCAAACGTGGAGGCTTTGAGTCTCCAATAAGGACCTAAACAACAACACATGTAATCTTCAGACTCTGGGCCAGACATAGACATCTGTGAGTAGACATGGACATTAGCCCTTACGGCCTTTTTCATTTGTGAGTAAAGCAGATGCTTTCCCTACAGAGGGCACATAAAGGGAGGAGGAAGAGTCAAGATGTTTCTTCTCACTTTTGAATGTCACCCTGTCACCGAGAGGTGTGTTTGGAAGATCAATTGGTATATACTTGGTTAATTTAGTTCTCTATGTGAACGATTGTGTCGTATTGAGATAGCTGTGTAAATTCTAGCTGTACCTTGCATCAGCTGTGCAGTTTTTATCCTTTTTTTAACCTTATTGAATCTTCTATAAAAATAACTCCCATGTATGTTTTTTAAATTTTATTTTATTTTATATATTTTTACATCGTTTTTCATTTTTGCACAATGTATGCATTTTCATCTTGGTTATATTTCCCATACAAATCCCACCCCCCCTTATTTTGACCCTTACCCCTCCTTTCCTCCCACCGCCCCCCATAGTGTGTCTCTGGTTTATAGTTGCGTGTTGATTTTGATTTTTACATTATTATAATTAGTCTTTCTCCTGGGCCCTTATATAGGTTTTCTAAATTCCTGCTATGAGTGAGACCATCTGGTATTTTTCTTTTTCTTTCTGGCTTATTTCTCCGAGCATGATCCCTTCCAGCTCCACCCATGTTGCTGCAAATTGCATGAGTTTATCTGTTTTGATTGCTGAGTAATATTCCATTGTATGTATGTATCACATCTTCAGAGTGCAAACTGGTCCAACCACTGTGGAAAGCTGTGTGGAGATTCCTCAACCTGCTAAAAATGGAGCTTCCATATGATGCAGCAATTCCACTCCTAGGTATTTACCCAGAGGACACAGAATCATTAATTCAAAAGGACACCTGCACCCCTATGTTTATAGTAGCTCTATTTATAATAGCTAAGCTATGGAAATAACCCAAATGCCCCCAAACTCCCATCTGTTTAAAACTTCCTCAGTGTTGAGCTCTCTGAAGCACTTAACACAGATTTTCTTCTTTAATCCCAAGACAACTCAATGGGAGAGTAGCAGAAATGAACGTCCTGGCCTATACCCCTTGGAGTACACTGACCTGTCAACTGTCACCACCAACATCACCTTGCCTAAGAATTTTCTCTGGTCTTCAGAGCTCCTTTTCAGGCAGGTCAGAAGTGCAGGAAATTAATGCCTTCAGAAGCAGCCTTCAGGCCCTGGCTGGTGGGAGTTGGTGTGTGTGTCCCGGCTACCACACCTCTTGGATGAGGTAACAATGAACTGCACACGTTACACCATTGCCCAGGCTTCCCTCGTGGGATTAAACTTCAGATTCCAGAGTGGTGGTTTAAAAAATTTAACATTTAACATTTCCATCACCCCTTCTTCCCACTCCAAAACAAAACAAAACAAAACAAAACCTTTACCCCTCACTTTCCTCCCATACACTGACAACCACTGATCTACTTTCTGTCTCTATCGATTTGTCTATTCTGGACATTTCATATAAATGGAATCAGACAATACATGGTCTTCTGTGACTGATTTCTTTTTTTTTTTTTTTTTTTTTAAGTGTCAGTCTTTTATTTATTTATTTATTTGTTTGTTTTGTTTATACAAGCACTGGGTACAGTCAGAAGCGCGGGAGGGTGAGAGAATCCACCAGAGCCAGAGCGGGGAGCAGAGCAGGCAGAAGGACCGAAGTACACTGCTGAGGGGAGCAGCGGGCGGCAGGAGAGGTCTGCGCGCCATGTGGGACCCTCCTCCGGTGGCCGGGAAGCAGCCGGGGATCGAACTGGCGCCGCAGAGGCCGCGGGCAGCTTCGCAACCCAGCGCTCAACCGCTGCGCCACCGGGGAGGCCCTGTGACTGATTTCTTTGTAGGTTTCATCCTTGTTCCACGTTGCTGCATGTACCAGTATCTTTTTCCTTTAATGTCTGAATAATAATCTGTTGTGTAGATACTCAACATTTTGTTTATTCATGTATTAGTTGATGGACCCTTGGGTTGTTTCCACTTTTTAGCTATTATGAATAATGCTGCTTTGAATATTTACTTGCAAGTTTCTATATAGACATGTTTTCAGGTCTATTGGGTATAAACATAGAATGCTGGTAACTCTATCGTTAACTTTTTTAAAAAAAAGATTTATTTATTTATGCATACAAGAATTGGGGTATAGGCCAGAGTTGTGGGGGTGAGAGGATTCACCAGAGACAGAGTGGGGGGCATAACAGGCAGATGTACTGAAATACACTGCTGAGGGGAGTGGTGGGCACGACAGGAGAGGCCTGCCTCTCCATGTGGTTTACCTCCCTGGCTGGATATCAAACTCATGTCATAGTGGCTGTTGATAGCTTGATAGATTGATAGCACTGTGTCTTTAACCCCTGTGCCACCAGGAAGACACTCTGTGGTTAACTTTTTAAGGAACCCTAAAACTACTTTCCACAGTAAATACACCAGCAATATATGAGGGTTTCAGTTTCTCTAATTCCTCAACAACCCTTGTTATTATTTATCCTTTTATTTTAACCTTTCAGTTGTGTGTGAAATGGTATCTGATTTTGATTTGCATTTTCCTGATGACTAATGACATATCATCAGGCATCTTTTCTTGTGCTTCTTGCCCTTTGGCATAGCTTCCTTGGCAGAATATCTGTCTGGATCCTTTTTCTGTTTTTCAGTTGGGTTATCTGTATTTCTACAGTTGTGTTGTAAGAGGTGTTTTTTTTTTTTTTTGGTTAGTATGTTTTTAGTATGTTCTGGATAATATCTATCTATATATCTATCTGTAATCTACAAAGACTTTTGTAGTGGGTTTTTTGACTTCCCTGCTTTGACACACAAATGTAATTATTTTTGGTAACAGAGCAGTAGATTTTAAAGGTTTTTTTAAAAAAAATTTATTTATACAAGAACCGGGGTACAGGCCAGATGTGCGGGAAGGTGAGAGGATTTACCAGAGACAGAGTGGGGAACAGAACAGGCAGACTGATGAAATACACTGCTGAGGGGAGCAGCAGATGAGACAGGAGAGGTCTGCCGCACCATGTGGGATTCTCACTGGCCAGCTGGGATCGAACCCATGCTGCAGAGGCTGCAGACAGTTTCATAGTGTGGCGCTCAACCCCCTGCACCACCAGGGAGGCCCCCAGAACAGTAAATTTTAGAATAACAAATGCTTTTTTATTGGCTACTTTTCCTTTCTGCCTTTTTCTCACTTCCATTAGGAATGCTTAGTCTCAAAACACACCGTATAATTCTCGCTCACATTGCAGATTTGCTGGTAGGGGATTTAAATTTCTTCTTTTTCTCAAAAGGGTCTATCTTTGTGTTGAAAGTGCCTGGTTCTCCTTGAGTGCTTTGTGGTCCTGCATCTTCACACTAATCCCACTTTGTGTGCATCTACCAGTAATTCCTCTAGAAGTAGCTCCTTACTTGCTTACTTATGAATAATAAACTGTTTCTCTCTGCACTCATTTTAGCTTTTAGGTTATGGAAGTGTGCTTTATACTTTGAAATCCACAGCAGGAGGTAAAAACAGTATTTGAGGCTATTTGTAACTTCATATCATTTGTCACATAGAGAAACTTGACATGAATTTTCCAACCCATTCCAGGGCGTGTCAGTCTCTTTTAGGAAGGGTCATCCTTTTCGCTTCCTTGGGTTGACTCTTAAGAATCATCGCAATCAGGTGAGACTTAGTGATGTATGTACTGGATTCTGGCTGCTGTAACAGAATGCCGCTGAGTGGGTAACATAAACAATAGAAATTTATTTCTCATAGTTCTGGAGAGTGGGAAGAGCAGATTAGGGTACCTACAAGTTGGAGCTCTGGAGAGGGCCCTCTTCCTGCTTTGGAGACAGCCACCATGTTACCTTCTTATGGCCGAAGTCTCTCTCTTTCTATGGGACATTAATCCCATCATGAGGGTTCGAACCTCATGACATCATGGAAACCTAAATATCTCCTTCCTAGAGTCATCCCATGGCAGTTTGAATTTCTTTTATTTATTTATTTATTTATTTATTTTTGTTTTAATAGAGGCATGTTTTTATTTATTTATTTGTTTGTTTGTTTTGTTTATACATGCACTGGGTACAGTCAGAAGCGCGGGAGGGTGAGAGAATTCACCGGAGCCAGAGCGGGGAGCAGAGCAGGCAGAGGGACCGAAATACACTGCTGAGGGGAGCAGCGGGCAGCAGGAGAGGTCTGCGCGCCATGTGGGACCCTCCTCCGGTTGCCGGGGAGCAGCCGTGGATCGAACCAGCGCCGCAGAGGCTGCGGGCAGCTTCGCAACCCAACGCTCAACCGCTGCGCCACCGGGGAGGCCCCGGCAGTTTGAATTTCTACATAATGAATTTGGGGGACAATAAATCTGCAGTCCATAACATGACCTTAGTGCCTTTTGAATGTCTTCCCTTCACGGGAAGGGAAAGATGATATGCAGATAGTAACTGCTGAGACTGTGCAAGTTGTGGCAGTGTCATCCCAGTTTGTTGTAAGCTACTTCACCCATGTCTGCTTCTGCCAGTTTGGGGCATCAGGACCATGGTTAGCGATATGTAAGGAAGATTTCTTGCTGGCATAGAATGTCCTGCATCATGTGGAAGTCTCAGGTATGATACATTGACTCTGAAATTGAGAAAACATCCTTGCCGTTGTGGCCAGGGGCTTCCTAGTTATGACCAGAAAAAAAATGGGCTTTCTTTTATACTTTCTCTAAGGGATCTGAAGATTGTTTAGTAGGTTGCTCTTTGACTATCAGAAGTCAAGCCAGTACCACATGCAGGTGTGAGGATGCAGGGAGTCCAGATGAGGAGAGGCAGCCTTGTTTCCCAGGGTGAGGCAGTGTGAGGAAGGACAGCTGCTCCCACCTGGCCTTCTAAGGATGGGCCGAACTCTACATGTGCCGGACACCCACAGGATTATCAATGAGCAACGTCTTCATCTAGAACATTTCTTCTCTGGGCAGGGTATTCCTCAAAAAAAGGGGGCCAGGGAGTGGTGGAGGGTTTGGTGGGAAGGGTGAGAAGACAGCTGAAGAGGCCGCAGGCTGCCCACAGTGCCTATCACGTTGGCACGTGGAAGGGGTTAAGTCATTCTTGAACAGTTTATCGCTCATCGCTCATCAATTGTAATTAAATATGTTTATATTAAATTATGTTCTGTAATTAATGTAAAATCCTTTAGCCTATGCTGTTATTAGAACCAGATGCTGAAGTACCAACAATATTTCAACATGACTGTGCTGCCTCGCCAGCTGTCTAACTGTAATTACTTTAATCTCAGCTTGTTATCTAATTATCACCTTTGTAAAGGGAAAAGTACTCTCTAATGCTTACTGATTGTTTCAGATGATGATGAAGAGCGGGGAACAGCTGTCAGAGATCGTGGGCCCTGCTTATCACAGCGAAGGAACTTATCCTGAAGCCTATTCAGGGCCAAACTGCTGAGGATAGATGTCCCAGGAAGGAACCGGGGACTGGCCAGAGATGGGGATGCTTGGGTGCTGGTGGCTGAGGGTGCAGCACCTGTGGGTGAAGTGTCAGGTATCACAGCCTCCGTGATGGCTGGGGACAAGTTCCTTAATCCCTTAAGACTCAGTTGCCTCATCTGCAATATGGATATTAAATCTGAGCAATACTCAATCTACCTTAGAGGATTGTTGCAAAGATTAAATGAGATAATGCATAGGAAGCCCTCAACCCAGAGCTGGACAAAGTGTGCTTACTTACTTTAGTAAGTTGCACTTAGTTGACTTAGTAAATGTTAACTTTTCTTCTTTAAAAGATAGATCCCTGTTGGTTTTCTCCATTTCCATCCCTCATAGGTCAAGGCTTGCCCATGAGGTGTTAGTCCCTCCCCACCTCCAATTGTGTGCGTGTGTCTTTCCTGAGCGATTCCTGCGACCTCCCAAAGGTTGGGGCAGACACCCCAGGGGAGTAAGCCAGGACAGCACCGCCAGCTGCTGCAGCTGTGGCTGGAGTGCAAGGGGGGGCTTCAGCAGAAGTGGGGCAGCGTCCAGTATGTATAAGGCACCTTTTCTGGGCAGCTTAGTCAGCGGCAGATGCTGAGAAGCAGTGGCTAAGAGGCCACCCACCGGTGCCACAAGGCCCAGGTTTTGATCCCGGTTCTACATTTTACTGATGTGTAACTGTTCCTCATTCCCTCCTCTCTCAAGTGAGTATCGTTTTGGTACTTACCTTGGAGGCTGTTGTAAGG